TAGAGGTACGGGTTAGGGTTAGGATAGGAGCTGTGGGGGGTAGAGGTACGGGTTAGGGTTAGGATAGGAGATGCTCTTTGCTGTTCTTGTAGCTTGGTAGGTGGTTCCACCATCTTGGAACGACACATTAAACAGTCTGGATGGTTAGGGTTAGGGTTAGGGTTAGGGTTAGGGTTAGGGTTAGGGTTAGGGTTAGCGTGGTGAAGGCTCTGCTAGACCACAGTCCACTGATGACCGGAGGGATCCAGTTGTGACATAAGTCTTTGCCTTTTGCATTTAGCTGTCTTAATGGTCCCCAGTTGCCCAGTTTGAGGCCAAGGATACCAATGGACTGGAGCTAGATTAGACCGAAGATGTCTGGGACAGACTGGGTGTAATTTTCCAGTGTAATCCTGACGGGGGGGCCTCATGTGAGGCCTTCAGACCTGATTTTACTGGATCTTTTGTCATTCACGTCCGTTAAAAGCTTCTTTCACCAAAGCTGTGCTGCTTGAATCCTTTTGTTCCGAGGCTTCTGGAAGGTGTGAGTCATCCTCGGTTACCATTTCCCTTCATCCTGAGGCAGATTTGGGCCACCAAAGGTTAATGTATGTAGCCATTCTCGTCCATCTGGTGACATTTAAGAGGCACCCATACACTGGGGGAAATAAGTATTTGACCCCTTGCTGATTTTGCAGGTTTGCCCACTTACAAAGAATGCAACAATCTATAACTTTAATCACATGTACATTCTAACAGTGAAATAAAGAATCCCAAAGCAAATTCCAGAAAAATCACATCATATGAATTTATAAAAATTGATAACCATCTGATGAGGAAAAATAAGCATTCTTTGTAAGTGGGCAAACCTGCAAAATCAGCAAGGGGTCAAATACTTATTTCCCCCACTGTAACTTTAACAGTACATGGACAGGACTCTTCTCGTGTCTTGGTGGTGCAATATAAGCTGTCTGAGAAACACGAGGATTTTCAGAGCCTAAATGTGATTTGTAAAGATCTGATGCAGCCCAGTCTCCCTGCAGAGGACTGGAGCAGATTTCCCTGTTCGCTAACCCCCCCACACACACACACACACACACACACACACACACACACACACCTTTGATGGAAACGCTCAAATGAAACCAGAAGTGGAGCTGAATTCATTTGTGTTTGGAGTCTGTGAACAGGTGGGCGCGACGTGGGCGTGGGAGGAAGCAGCTGCCTCTCCTCTGAGAGCAAATCCCCCTCGTCTGTTTCCCCTGAAGCAGGCAGAGAACGGCCACGGTCGGCCGGCTGCTGAGCGCCGGCTCACCGGGGAAAAGCCTCCTCCTTCCTCTCCAACAGCCACTGTTTGGAGAAGAAAACTGCTGAGGGAGGAGAAATGAGAGGCTAAGAACGACACGCAGAGGCCCGACCTGCCTCTCAGAGAGGGGGGCAGTCCGAGGGGAGGCAAGGAGCTGATGCAGCTGATTCTAAAGAGACTTTCTCATGCCTGGTAGAGCTGAAATGACCCGATGCATTTGGCTATAATTACTCACTTTAGCATTGTATGCTATCAGAATCAGAATCAGAATCAGAAATACTTTAATAATCCCAGAGGGAAATTATTTTTGTTACTGGCTCCATAAATAAAACAGCAGCATATATATATATATATATATATATATATAAAAAATTCCTCATATGATATAGATAGATATATACATAAATAAAAAAGACTATATGTATATATATAGGTCAAAATAAGTGGTGGATAGTGTCAATAAAGATTAAGTTTGACTCTCAGAGGGAGGCGTTGTGCAGATTGATGACCACAGGCAGGAATGCCTTTTGCGTCTGACACCTTTTGCATAATTTAATGGTAAAAACTTTCTTCAAAATCCTATTGTACACAATCAGATACACCTGATAACAGGGGGCAGAAGACTACACAAAAAATAATCTGGAATTATTGCATATTAATAAATTATTAATATCAAAAATGTATTTTTGTTTTTACATATTTTGTGAAAAGACCAAACAAAGACTTCCAACCAAAAAAAAGTAATTTTCTGTTTTGTTATATTCTTGGATCGGGCTTTAGAGGGTTAAGAGATGGCTCCGAACCCGTTTCTTTACTTTCGCGTGACGGGGTTTGAATCCAGAGCCCAAAATATCAGTATTCATCAAAGTGAGGCGTCCAACCACAGAGACTCAAACACTTGTTCAGCATGACACAAAACAACCGCAAAGAGACACAAAACAACCACAAAGAGACACAAAACAACCACAAAGAGACACAAAACAGCTACAAAGAGACAAAATACAACCACAAAGAGACACAAAACAGCTACAAAGAGACAAAATACAACCACAAAGAGACACAAAACAACCACAAAGAGACACAAAACAGCTAAAAAGAGACACAAAACAGCTACAAAGAAACAAAATACAACCACAAAGAGACACAAAACAGCTACAAAGAGACACAAAACAACCACAAAGAGGCACAAAAAGCTAGACACAAAACAACTACAAAGAGACACAAAACAGCTTCAAAGACACAAAACAACCTCAAAGAGACACAAAACAGCTACAAATAGACACAAAACAGCTACAAAGAGACAAAATACAACCACAAAGAGAAACAAAACAGCTACAAAGAGACACAAAACAACCACAAAGAGACACAAAACAACCACAAAGAGACACAAAACAGCTACAAA